TTACACTCCCGCTGCCGCTGCCTCCTTACACTCCTGCTCCCGCTGCCTCTGCCTCCTTACACTCCCGCTGCCGCTGCCTCTGCCTCCTTATACTCCCGCTGCCGCTGCCTCCTTACACTCCGCTGCCGCTTCCTCTTTTCTAAATCAGCACCACCTTACACTTCCTTCTTCTCCTTCTGTTAACAGTATACAGTATACTGTTAATACTGTTAATATTGTTAGGTTTATTTGAAATTATTAATTTTCAATACTGTTAATAGATTAATAATATATTATTTTGATTTTAATACTGTTAATTTTTATTTATTTGAAATTATTGTTAGGTTTCAAGATAAATGGCAAGTGTACAGAGCAACTCAATAGAGTCTCCAATGGCATCAAAAAAAGATCCTGCATAGAAGTATAATTATTTGAAGGATCCGAAAGATCCTAATGTAGTGACTTGTATATTCTGAGATAAGACTACTAGAGGTGGTATTTTTCGTGCAAAACAACATCTAGTAGGAAATTTCAAGAATGCAGCAGCTTGCAAAAAGTGTCCACCTGAGGTAAAAGAAGAGTTGCTGAGTTATATGAATGAAAAGAAGACACAAATGAATAAATCTTACGGGAATTTACCAGAAGACAATGTTAAACATCTCAGGGATGAAGAAGAAGATTATTCTATGAGTATTAACCCAAGTGGGAAAAAAGTATACGATAAAAAAGGAAAATAAGTTATGAGTACTAAGAAGGGTAAAAAAGGATCGATGGATCTATATATGTTTCAAGGATCCCAGAAACAACAAGGGCAAGCAGGAGGCTCAAAATTTAGACAAACAAATATAAGTGATGCTTGTGATAAAGAAATAAAAGGAATAACAATTCAGCACATTGCTCGCTTCTTCTATCAAGCTCGTCTTCCCCTTAGTACAACTCGTTTAGACAATTTTAAGGATATGATTGAAGCTATTGGAAGATATGGTGTAGGATTAAAACCTCTAAGTTATTATGAGATGCGAGTTTCATTGTTGCAAAAAGAGTTGAATTATACAAATGACTTACTAAAGGGTCATAAAGAATCATGGGCAACACATGGTTGCTCTATTATGTCAGATGTTTGGACTGACGGGAGGCGTAGGAGTATAATTAATTTTAAGGTTAATTGTTCTTTAAGGACTATGTTTATGAAGTCAATAAATGCATCCTTTGTAAAATCTGGAGACAAGATATATGATTTACTTGACAACTTCGTGGAAGAAATTGGAGAACAAAATGTCGTTCAAATCATAACCGACAATGGAAGCAACTATGTTTTAGTTGATAATATTCATCTTTTAAATTTATTAATTATTTTATCTTCAATTAAATGTGTTAAACTCTTAAGTCTTATCATTTTTGTTATCCTTTGTCTTAGGTAAATTGCTTGAAACAAAAAAACAACACTTGTATTGAACTTAATGTGCAGCACATTGTATTGATTTAATATTGGAGGATATTGGAAAGATCTTAGAAATCAAGAAAACCTTAGAAAGAGCAATTTTTGTTGTTGGATTTCTTTATAATCACATTGGGGCTTTAAATATGATGAGAGAATTTACAGGGAAGAAAGAATTAGTGAGACATTGTGTCACCCGATTTGCTACTTCATTCTTGACATTACAGAGCGTGCATCGTCAAAAACATAATCTGAGAAACATGCTTACCTCTGAGAAATGAGTGACAAGAAAATGGGCAAAAGAAGCAAAAGACAAGAGGGCTGCTGATGTCATCTTAATGTCATCCTTTTGGAATCATGTAGTTTATATATTAAAGGTAATGGGCCCTCTTGTTTGAGTCATTCGATTGGTGGATAATAAAAATAAGCCTGTAATGGGATATATTTATGAGGCTGTGGATAGAGCAAAGGAGACAATTAAAAGATCTTTTAATTAAAATAAAGAAAAATATGAGAAAATTTTTACAATCATTGACGAAAGATGGAATTGTCAACTTCATCGTCCCTTACATGCAGCAGGATATTATTTGAACCCTGAATTCTTTTATAAGTTTAAATCTGTTGGGTTTGATGTCGAAGCTTTGGATGGGTTATATCAGTGTATTGCAAGATTAGTTCCCAGCCTTGAGGTTCAAGATAAGATTATTCATGAATTATCTTTATATAAAAATGCCGAAGGTCTTTTTAGAATTCCAATTGTCGTTCGATCCAGGACAACTATGTCTCCATGTATTAATAATTTGATATAATTAATTTCATATATATTATGTTACTATGTTATTGTTAATAATAACATAAATTTTACAGCTGAATGGTGGAGTCTATTTAGAAATTCCACCCCGAACTTACAGCAATTTGCTATCAAAATACTTAGTTTGACATGTAGTGCTTCAGGTTGTGAGCGAAACTGGAATGTCTTTGAGCATGTAAGGATCACTAAATATTTTTGTTTTAATTAATTTATTTATTTAGATAGATAAATTAATATATTTTTAAATTATATGACATGACAGATTCACTCGAAGAGAAGAAATCGGTTGGAATATCAACGATTGCATGATCTTGTTTACATAAAGTATAATCAAGCTTTGAAGGCTCGTCATGATTTGCAAAATATATTTGATTTAATCTCATTACAAGATATTGATGATTCAAGTGAGTGGTTAGTAGGAGAAATGGGTGCTAACTTGCAAGATGCTAAAGACGAGCTTGTATTTGAAGATGATAGATTAACATAGGGAGATGTGGCAAGAGCTTCAGGTGCTGGAGAATTATAAACATATACAAGACAGATGTCAAAGAGAAAAATGAGTGCAAAAGCATCAAGCTTGGCTCCTGCTATTGTTGAAGACATAGAGAATGAAACATATCTTGATGAAGAGAAAGGAGTCAAAGGACAAGAGGAAGAAGACGAATTCAATGAAGATGATTTGTGTGAAAATGACGATAATATTGATTATGATGAATGACTTTGATGTAAAATTTTATTGTTTTGAATTTTGAAACTTTTTGTTAATGTGACATTGTGATTTTGTCTTCGATTTTCTTAATTTAATAACATATTTTATTTAAAATTTTAAATAATTATATTTATTAATTATATTATATATTTTTATATTTTAGCACCTCACTTCGCTCGGGCGAGCGCCTAGCGCCTCGGGCGTTTTTTTACCTTGGCGCCTTTTTAGCGCCTAGCGCTTTTTAAATCACTGATACTAATATTATCATTTGTGTTTTATTATTTCTTTCTTTTTTTCCTTTGTATGGTAGAGATCAGAGCTACCTTCCTCATGTAGCATGAGTATTTTTACCATCTTCAATTCGTACGAGGTTATTCTAGTTCCGAATACCAACAGAATAATGAATTTTTATACCACCAAAAAAAGTGAAAAAGCTTCATGAAATTATTATAAAGAAATTTTACATATAAACAATTAGAAAGCTTGCAAGCAATCCATAAAGAAAAGGTAGTTGAGTACAATGTTTTCAAAAGGTGAGGCCCAAGTGCCTCGTAAGAGGTCTGGGTGACAGGTTTAAAGGAGGCACCACTCGGGCATGCCTAAGCCCAGGCGTGTGCCTTATCCAATCTGAGTCTAAGTACAATCAATTTCAAATGGTTGGCTTAACCGAACCAACTAATCACAACCCCCCACCCCATGCTTGATCTAGTGAAAGGAACTTAGTAGAAGAAACCCTACCATGAGCCTCCTCCACCCTATGCTGTCGATTGCAGCTTCATTTCTCCACAACAGCGAAACACTTCCTCTCGTAGCAAAGATGGCCCTCCGACAATGTCTTCTTCTTGCAGCAACTCTTTCTTTCTCCTTGCCATCATGCTCTCCCTCTTTCTCCTTCCCCTCCTCCACTGTTGTCACTGCCCTCCTCTCATTGAGCCTCCTCAAACCCCAATAACCCCCCTCTCCCTCTTCCTCCCTCTTCTTCTTTTTGGTGCAGGCCCCTCTCCTTCCCTCTTGTTGTCCCCTTCTTCCTCTTCATTGTCACCTCCCTCCCCTCCCTCCTCTTCCTTCTCCTCCTCCCTGATAGCTTCCCTCACAATTGAGGGTCGTCGAACTTCTCCTCTTCCTCCTTCTCCTACTCCACCTTGTTCTCCTCCTAACTATTTCCTCCTCCTTCCTCTTCTCCTTCTCTTTGCTTCTTTCCCCTCTCCTTCCCTCTTGTTGTCCACTCCCTCTTTCTCCGTCATCGTCACCCCCTCTCCCTCCCTCCTCCTCCCTAAAAGCTCCCCTCTCAACTAATAGCCACCAAGCCTCCTCGAACCCTGACAATCTCCTCCTAGCCAATTCCTCCTCCCTCTTCCCATTAATATTATATATATATATATATGTATATATGTATATATATATGTATATATGTATATATATATGTATATATGTATATATATATATATATATGTATATATATATATATATATATATATATATATATATGTTTATTTATTTATTTAATAAATATTGGCGAGCGCTTCACTTTGCTTAGACGAGCATCTAGCACCTCAAGTGTTTTGACACCTTGGCACGTTTTAGCGCCTAGCACTTTTCAAAATGTTGGTTGAATAGGTATATATAAAGTCTATATTTCCCTCCACATAAAACAAATGTTATGCATGAACATAGACATAAAAATTTTACAAACTTCAGTACATTCCTCCAAAATTGTTGGAGAACAAAGTTCAGAAATGAGAAAAAAAAAAAGAAGGGGGGAAAGAAAGAATGTATGAGGTTTTATCTCTATCTATTTCCTATCAGATGATCCTGTTTCCCTCTTTCAGGGAGGGGGGTTTATGGAGTAGTCACAGTAGTCAAACTTTAAAAAAGAGATGACAGGTATGACACACTTACTTCCAATGGCTCTAAGCACAATATATGCTCCATAAGTGACAAGCCTCCAGGTGATTCATCTGCATACCATATTGACTTCGGTTGCAGCAAACTGCTATAACTATCTGGCAACACCAAGCAGGTTAGCTGCAAAATTGGACCAATCAGCAAAAAATAACAAAGAAATTCTTAGACCAATTAAAAAAATGTTATTCAAAAGATGAGTTTCACTGGGTTTTTTTAACTGAACACCACAATGAAACCTACCTTAGATAATGCTACCACAGTAGCCTGTTGAATGGAACCACCACTTTCTGTAAAATATAAAACAGTGCAATTGAAGTGAATAATGTGTTAGAAAGCAACAAGGAGGCAAAAAAACTCTGCTGAATAAGAGTCTTACTTGCAATTGCAATGTAAGATTCAACCTGGGTATGACGCTACCACATGAGACTCATGACTATCACATACCTACTAGTCAATGACTTCTATAGAATGAATCTTTAATGATATGGCCTAAAGTGCTCAGACACAAGTTGCTAGAATGCCTAGTTTGATATAATAAACAAACTCAACATTTTCCAATATGGGATAATGGTTATCAGAGAGTCACAATCCTCCTACCTCTTCAGGTCTGACATTCTTGTGAAAGCCCAACACATAGCACATAGCCCAGAATCACTCCATGCTTGGATGTGCCTTGCACCATCCACAAATAGCCCTTCCTATATGCATGCTAATCCACACATCCATGGTCTTAGGCCTGGCCTTGATATGGCATGACACAACTTGATAGATCAATTAGCTAACAAGTCATAAACTATTTTTCAAACATGTGATCCAAAATGCTTTCTGAATTTACTTAAACAAACCTCATCAAGTCTTATATACCAAGACAGCTAAGCATCATTTCTACATATTGGACTAATTGGGGAACCACCCTATTGTCTAACACATTTGAAATGGATGTGGTCATTTACTGATATCTAAAACTATATTGGCCTATTACTAGTATCTCAGACCTAAATATTTTCGCCACACTGTTAAGGCCCATTCAGTCCAAGTTCTGGGCTACTGGACTACAAGGTTAGTTCATGAAAACCAAGATCAAAAAGGACTTGAGATAGTGGATGTGTGGATTTGTAAGCCCAATAGGAAAAGCTACCTGAGAACAGTTAATTCCTTGAGCAAAAATCAATTTTGTTTAGGAATGAACTACACATTCGAGCTAATTTTTTTGGCCATCACTTCACAGAATGATACAGTTCTGCCAGCTATGCACATTCAGTGTTAATATCTAATATTAACCAGGATCACTTTAGAACTAAAAGTTTTAGTATCAATAATAGTTTTAAATAGAGTACTTATTATAGTTGGTATCCTACTGCATTTTCCCATCATTTTTGTCCTCATTAATAATTAATCATCAAATGCGAAATAACTGAAACTCCACGTAATGGCTTCTAGATACTCCAATAAAGATAGACCTTGCACTAAAAGATCCATACCATAGCCAAAGTAGTCATACTGTTTCAACAGGAGGTCTGAGTGATTTCCTTCTTCTATGCTGGCAGATCCAGAAATCTCAACCTAGCAAGCATCGAACTAGAAGCATCAATCATGAAATGGTACTGGATAAAATTCTTAAATCAACCATATTTGAATAACTTTTTGCAAGTAAAACAGATAGACATAAACAAAGAAGATTGTTTTCCATAAAAAAGAATGAAACGAAATCATTGGAGAGTGCAAATGCTACATGATGATTATTGTAGAAATTTTTCCATATTTTCAATGCAAAAAAATTAAAATAAATAGATCTCATCACAGTTTCTGAAACATCAACCATCTGCAGAACTAATTATTGGCAGCTAACTGAAACAAAATATTCCTCTATTGAACACATCATGTAATAGAATCTGAAGGCAATTTCCACATTACTTTTTATGAACTTAGAAAATAAACAAAATAGTGATAAGCAAAAAGATACAAGTGGCATGCTAAGTAGCAATTAGCATAAGCAACACTGAAGTTTGCAACCATATGCTATAATTCATCTTCCGGTTTTCTTTTTGGGAAAATACCTGGCCCTCCAAGATGAAGTAAATACCATCTCCAATTTCCCCCTCACGAACAACATATTCACCAACTTCTGATAAGAATAAGAAACGAAAGAAAAAACCACTCAGCTACGCATACAGGACTAGATGGATCATTCTGCGGATAGAAAGGATCCTTTCATATGACTCATAAAAGCTACCTCCCTAACCTACATTTTGTGGAATCAACAGATTTTAGAAACTTGCATAGTTTGAGCAACCTATCTATCAAAACCATAATAGTTTTCAGACCGCTGAGGGGTTATGCGCCTCACGCAGGTTCTTAAGTTGATCTTGTGATCCCAATTACCGAAATTCCTCAAATAATAGAAGATCTACATCATTAATAACACATGAGAAAGACTCGTGCTGGAAGATAAAATGATATCCATTTCCAATGATATACAGAAACTAATTTATATCCAAGCAATTGGACTCGGCGATTGAAAGAGTTCAAAGAGACGAGAAACCAGCCCACCATATTGCTTCACCTGGACGACCTCGGCAAGCTTACGGAGAGAAGAACCTGGAAGCCGTTGCAGAAAAGGCACTTGTCGCAGAAACTCCAACACTGAACCCAATAAATCCAAGGAATCAAGAACCCCAAGAAAACCGATTGAGAGAAAGGAGGGTTATCGACCCTACAGTTTCTCGGGCTGTACCTTTTCCGCGATCCATTCAAGAACAGCAAGTATGTCGAGAGAGAGATGTACTCGATCGCCGCTTGGTGACGATTTTTAACGATACGATGTGCCTCCGGAATTGACAGTGGTGCCGGATAGCGGGTCTGATCCCCTCAAGAAGGAGCACATGATCAAATCCGAACGCTTCTCCACCACGTAGGACTTGGGGGTACAAACCCATTCCATTGCCTGCAGTTTGCACATTTTTCTTTTTTTTGACAAAAAGTGCGTCGTTTATACATTCCATAAAATGTTGATTCGAGCGAAATAATTTTGACCAATTCTAATAATTCGTCACGTCATAATGTGTGTGTGTGGATATAAGCAGAAATCACATGACTAAATGACTAATATTGAACATAGCTCACATTTTGTTCATGATCAAAATCTGCAACATTACAAAACGGACATTTCAACTCCGTCTATTTTATACTTGCATATTTTTAGAAATCCAAGAAATTTATTTTAGGTTTGGATAATTCTGAAAATAAAATTTATAATAAGATTAGGATCTAACCGTTGCTTTTTAACTAATAGAATTATTTAACTAATAAAATTTACTTTTAGTCGTAAGATTGAATTGTGTAACAGTCTCATCCAAAATCTAATGTAGTTTCCGAATTATGTTATAATTAACTAAATATGTTTCCAAATTAATCAGTATATACGATTTGGTGTAGTTAGCGCATAAGAGTCATTGATTTGATTTTTAGATTAAGACAATCTCATTTTCAATTCCGTTATGGGTAATTCACATAAAATTATATCTAATATAACATAATATAAAATAATGATAATACAGAAAAATAAATTTTTTTTTTTTTACACAAACGACATCCTTTTAAAATCTATGAAAAAAAAGTCTCTTAAAAGCTCCGCGTTTAGCTAGGCGTTCATATTTACTAACATTAAGATCATCCATTGCTTTTCCGAATTAATAAGGACTCTCAACATCTTTCCTGATCTAATCATGATCTCAGTTGTGATTGAGTTATTAAACTCTATGACCATCTCATCTCATCTAATCATAATCTCAGCTGCCAAATTTTTGTCGCTCGTAATTAGAAGAAAACTTGATTAATATGATTATGCCCGAAACATATAATGGCTAAACTAACGGCAAATCGTCTCCCTCTATCTTTAACGTGATCTACTCTCACATTTTCTCCGGTCATCTCTTATTGGCTTCGATTTTAGTATCTAACTCAATAATTTTATTATTGTAATAACAAAGGATTATTAGAGAGATGAAAATGGATGTCTCCAACGCTTTTTCTATAATGTATTTTTCGACCTCCAATTACTTTTCATTTATATTTAAATAATTTATCTTTCCTTCAACACCGAAATTTGATGCGACATAAGAAAGTGAAAAAGAAAAAAAAACTTTGTATGTTCATAAATAATTCCTTAACAAGGGGAATGTTAGGTATCTAAAATTATCTTATTTTTGTAGACTTGGACCCAAACTATGACTAGTATTAGCTTTTTTAAAATATTTTTTTTATTAATCAAGATTTTCGATGTCACCAAGGATTGCAACATTGCTCTCAAATCGAGAAGGAATACAAGAAGTTCTTATAGCATGAAAGCTAACATGAAAATATCATTATAGATATTGTGTAGGAATCAATGTGTCAACTTGTTGTGATTAAGTATTTGAATCATATCAAATATATTAGATTTGATCAAAAAATTAATACCTCTACGTATTTTAGAGTCCATCTCATATTGTCTAGCATTCAACAAGGTACAGGGCGTTGGAGGTAAGGTGAGTATTTTATCCACCAAAATAGTACTATCTATAGACTTCTTAAAATAAAAGTCAGTCTACAAGACAAGAGTCATTAGCAAATAAATCATCATAAAATAATGATGTCATTGGCTTTAAGGCCATGGAAAGATCGGGTGGGTTTAAGAGAACTTGAAAAATCTCAACACAGGGGTTCTATTATTATTTTTTAGCAGGGCTAAAACCTTAATCACTTGGAATAGGGTTGGAAACAATGATGATTAAATTTATAATTATTTTTATTCTTTTATAGAATCCAAAAAGTAGTGCCAATGATGGATACAATGGATTTAGAGAACTGATTATTAATATGACTTTTTTCTTTTAGTGAAGCACAATTTTATCATTCATGCATGTAATTAAACATAAAATTTAAACTCAAGTGTATCAAATCCCAAAAATCTCTTATGAAATGATGAGAGAAAAAAAAAGTGATTAAAGAAAGAGAAGTCTTCTTCCGCTTGTCAAACAAAGATCTGCATAATAATAGAGAAAATTAGGCAACCAAACAAATGTGGGTAAACAATTTCATAATAATTTTCATAAGAAAATTTGAACTTTTGAAAGAATCTTTCGACTCCATACAAATTTAAAGCCTTCTTAATTGGTCATTTTACCATTTCGTTAGGTGCTTATTTTTAGAAGTAGCAAACCAAAAGGATGTAAAAGTCCATACACATTTATCCTTTTTGGTCTCCCTTCATTAATTAATAATATTATTTTTTAAATTAAACTTGGATGGAAAATGTTGTCAAGAAATAGGTAATATTCCTAGATTTATAAGAGATAATATTGGCAACATATTTGAATTTGGAGAAGTAGTGACGGTTTAGAAAGGTCGACCATTTATTTTACAAAATTGGTTAACAATGAATTTTCGTCTAAAAGGAAATTTTGACCCTAAACTGATTCTAATAATTTAATAAATACCTTTCCATAAAGAGGAGAATTTCTTAATATTTGGGTTCCAAAGGTTAGGATAGTTAATACTTGGGCAATAAAGACTTTAAACCATAGACAATTAGAATTATTGAAAATAGGTAAAATGTGATGCATATTAACTGAAGATTTAATCAATAACATGTCTCTTCTCCCTAATCCACCAAGTGATTTAGGGGTCATAACTTTATCCCAACTAATAAGTTTTAAACTTTTTTAATTAAAAGAGTCGTCTCACACAATTAGCAATGGAATGAGGTGAAATAGGGTTGTGGACAAAATAAATAAGAACTATTCTTCTGGCTTAAGAGATATAATTATTTTATCAAATTTTAACTCTATTTAGTGTCTTATCAATTATAGCATTTTGAGTAGAAGCAAATAGTATGTAAAAAGAAAGATCTAAGTAGTTTATAAGTCAAAATCCTTTTGTCATTCTAAAATATTAACATATCCTATTTTGGTAGATGTCAGATATCCCTTTGGAAAGAAGATTAAAAATTTATTTTTATTTATTTAAAGAATTATTAATTAAAAATAAATCTTAAAGGTTTTAGATAAGTTTTCACAAGTAGCTCTAAATGCAATCAAATATCATCGGCAAAAGCAAAAGATTTGATTAAGTGATAAAGATAGGATTTATTGGACAATGATAAAAAGATAAGAGGATATGAGTCCCCTCATCTAATAGTTCGTGAATTAGTAAACCAAAAAAAAGTTCTTTCTATTTATAAATCAAGAGAGGATAGAAAAAAAATACAAGTCATAATCTATGTAATAAAAATAGAAAAAAATTATTTTTATAGAAGCATTATTAATCATAGATCAGGAGAAACAATAAAAAACTTTTCCCAAATTAATTTTAATAAGGATAAGAGGATTTTTTTCTTTGAAATTGAACATAGTATTAGTGAGTTCTTGAGTGATAGTAATATTATCTTGAATATATCTACTTGATATAAAGATCAATTGCTCTTGACTTGTACGGTTATTAAGGATCCCTTTAAGCCAGTAAGAGATTATTTTTGTTAAAAGTTTATATATGACATTACATAGAATAATAAAACAGAAATCTTATGTTTTAAGAGAGTTGTCCTTCTTAGGAATAAAAATAAGGTCGTTATTGTCCCAACTCCTTAGCAAGAAAATTATTGAATGTATTTAAAATAGAGAGAGAAAAGAATATTCTAAAAATGAAGATAGAATTTTACTAAAAAAACCTTCGCATCTAAAACTTTTTCTCCACCGATTCCTCTTCCGTCAAGGCCACCGGCATCCACTATCGGTCTTCCTTCAATGGGTGAAGATCAACTATCTTTTACAACTCTCTTTTATAAGGTATCCCTCACACACCTCCCTTAGAACTCTCTCTAAGCTTTAAGAGGAGAGAACTCAACTTTCTAATAGGGTTTATAATAGAGTTTTGTTCAATCTTTCTTACTACTCCATACAGGAATAGCTAAGGTATTTATAGACCCCAAATGGCTTCAAAACTTGGAGCCAAAATTCAAATCCTCGATATTTCAGGGTACGGGCGATACCACCACCTGCATTGAGCGGTACCACCAATTGCAGCTTGATACTGGACGGTACCACCGCCTGACAGTCTCTCGGAGACTATTTAGGTGGTACCACCGTCTGACACAGTCTCAAAGACTATGCCATGACGATACCACTTATTGGGTCACTGTTTGGGCCTTCTACTTGGCCCAACCCAACCTAATCTTAGGCCCAATTGAGTTGGCTTAATTACATTCTAAACTAACTTAATTAGACTCTAAACTAACTCGATCTATACATAATCGATTACAAGCGAATCCTTTGTTGTCTGGCATGTCATTAGTTCTTTCGTCACTTCATCCGATCCTTCGGTGCATCGTCCTCTCCTTCAATGTATTGCCCAATCAGCATGTTATCTTCTCGCAACATCTGATCTCCTTAGCATAATGTTTGATCTTCTTGGCCCGATGCCCGAATTCACGGATCGAAACCTTCTGCAGACATGTCGATCGATCCTCCGGCTCGACATCCAATCTTCTTACATGTTTGTTCTGGTGCAATGTATGATTCCTCCTGCTTTAATTAATTTGCCTCTTCTGATCGAAGCTAGTCCTATGTCACTCAAATGCACATTAGATAAACACATTAATCAATTTGTTTCATCACCAAAATCCAAGATTCAATAATCTCTCTCTTTTTGATGATGACAACCAATTAACGAGGGAGTTTAAACAAACTTCCCGTTTCAATATGTCATATTGATAGAAATTTTGAAATCATAGTATTTCAACATT